CATACCAATCAAGAAGAAGGCAAAATCAATGTGAAAGATGTGGATTAAGAGGTCATTTTATAAAAGAATGTCCAAATCCGGGAATGAAAAGAGGAAATAAAAATATTAGAGTACGAGTTAATGTACCACCAGAAAAATATGTAATGGATATGTTTAATGAAAAAGCTAATATAACATATGGACAAATTTACAATGAAAATCCAAAATTTAGAAGAATAGCTAGAGATTATGATGAAGATAATAGTGCATGACTACACTCAGACCAACCAATAAAAAGTGTAGATAATAAAAGTGAAACTAGAGCAATGAGAAGTAAAGTTATAATAAAAGGAAAATTAGTATCAATAATAATAGATTCAGGAGCATCAGTCAGTTTAATATCAGATAAATTAAGAAAAGAATTAAATATTCCAATAATAGAAAAGAGTGATATTAGATTTATAATTGCTAATGGAATAAGAGTTGCATCAAAAGTAAAAATAGAAATAACAATAGAAATAAATGAAAATACAGAAATGAAAATAATTATGGACGTAATCGAATCAGTAGAAAAAGAATTAATATTAGAAAATTATGTGTTAAGAGAAAAGAGAGGAATAATAGATTATAATGAAAAGACATTAATATTAAGAGAAGATGGAAAAGATATTGAAATACCAATAGAATATGAAAATAATGATGAATATATTAATGATGATAATGATAGTGATGATAGTGAAGATGAAGATAGTGAAAATGAATATGAAGAAACAAGTGAACGAGAAATATTTTTAATGAATAATGAAGAAAAAGGACATGTTATAGAGCAAAACTATTAGGTCTTGGCCATAATAATGGAGAGACATTAAAGATGCACAAAGATTGGACAGACGAAATAAAATATAAAGATTTAGAGAAATTACAAGAGAAAGAATTAAAAGATTTAGTTAAAGAATATGAAGATATTTGTATATATGGAGATAAGAAAATAAGTAAAACAAATATAGTAAAATGCAATATAAGGTTAAAAGATAAAACGCCAATAAATCAAAAAGCATATAGAGAAAGTATAGAAAATAGAGAAATAATAAAAAAAGAAATAGATAAAATGTTAAAAGAAGAAATAATACAAGAATCATGTAGTCCATGGTCGTCACCAGTAGTAATAGTAAATAAGAAGACAGGAGATAAAAGATTTTGTATAGATTTTAGAAAAATAAATCAAATGACTATAACAGACGCATATCCTTTTCCAAGTATAGATGACTTATTAGAAAAATTTAGAGTAGCAAAATGGTTTACAACAATTGATTTAGCAAGTGGATATTGGCAAATAGAGATGGAAGAAGAAGATAAAGAAAAGACAGCATTTATTTGTAGTCAAGGATTATATGAATTTAATGTTATGCCGTTTGGATTAAAAAATGCACCAGCAATATTTCAAAGAACAATGAATAAAATATTTAAAGAATACTTAGATAAATTTATGAACGTATATATAGATGACATTATAATATATTCAAAAAATTGGAATGAACATTTACAACATATAAAAATAGTATTAGAAGAATTAAGAAAAGCGAATATGATGTTAAAGTTAAAGAAATGTAAATGGGTGAAAAAGAATGTAGAATATTTGGGACATATAGTAGGAACAGATGGGTTAAAACCAGATGATAAAAAAATAGAAAAGATTAAAAATTTAAAACCGCCAAAGAATATCAAACAAATAAGAGAAATAAATGGATTATGTTCATATTATAGAAAATTTGTGAAAGGATATTCAAAGATAGTAAAACCAATAATGGAATTAACTAGAAAGAATGTTCCTTTTGTATGGACAGACAAACAACAAAAAGCATTAGAAGAATTAAAAAAGAAATTAATAAATTATCCGATATTACAACATCCGAATTTTGAAAAAGAATTTATATTAATAACAGATGCATCAGGAGAAGGATTAGGAGCTATATTAGAACAATTAGATGAAAATAATAGAGAAATAGTTATTAGTTATGCGAGTAGAAGTTTAGTAAATGCAGAAAAGAGATATCCGATAACAGAATTAGAATGTTTAGCAGTATTTTGGGGAATAAAATATTTTCATAAATATTTATTTGGAAGAAAATTTAAAGTAATAACAGACCATGCAGCATTAAAAGGATTTATAAGTACATCAAAAGTTCCTAAAGGAAGAAGAGGAAGATGGATGATGGAATTACAACAATATGATTTTGAGATAATACATAGACCAGGAAAAGAAAATAAGAATGCTGATGCGATGTCAAGGTTAATATGAGAAAGATAAAAGTTTAGAAAATAATAAATAGTAATGAATAACGAGATAAATTAAATTTAAAAATGGTTGAAAGAATAGGATTAGAAATATATATATTTATAATTCATACAAATATAAATTATCATTGCATATTATTTGAAGATAAAGAAATAAAATTTATTTTACCATTTGAAAACGAAATAGAAAATTTATTAACAAATGGATGAAAAAGAATATGATAAAATTGTAAAGAATATAGAAAAAGAAGAAAAATACGTACAAGAAAATGGAGTTTTATATAAAATTAAAGATGAAAATAAGTTTAGAGTAATAAGAAGATTTGAATTAGAAGGAATAATGTATATGATGCATGATCATGAATTATCAGCACATTTTGGGATTCAAGCTACATATGAAAAAGTAAAAGAAAAATATTGGTGGAAGAATATGAAACGAGATGTAGAAAAATATGTAAAAAGTTGTGATAATTGTCAAAGAAGAAATAATCCACAAGGGTTACATGAATTATATCCAATAGAAGTAAAAGAACCTTTTCATATGATTGGAATAGATGTAATAGGACCATTACCAATAACAGAATAAGGAAATAAATATATAGTAGTAGCAATAGATTTCTTTACAAAATGGCCAGAAGTAAAAGCAATAAAAGAAGCAAATGCAAAAGAAATATCAAAATTTATTTATGAAGAAATAATTTGTCGACATGGATGTCCAAAGAAAATACTTACAGATAATGGATCAGAATTTAATAATCAATTAACTAAAGATCTTACAGAAAAATTTAATGTTCAACATAAATTCTCAACTCCTTATCACCCTAAAACAAACGGATTAGTAGAACGATTTAATAAAACATTAATAGAATCATTGGCGAAATTAGTAAAAGAAAAATTAACAATATATAGAAATAGAGAATATGAAGATAAAAACTGGGATCAAAGAATAGCACCAATATTGTTTGCATATAGAAGTAAAATACAGAAATCAAGTAAAATGACACCATTTTATTTGACTTATGGAATGATGAAGAAGTTAAAGGAATTACAATGATTAAAAGAATAGAACATATAATAGAAGAATTACCAATAAAAAGATATTAAGCGAAGAAGAATATTGAAAAAGCACAAAAACAACAAAAGAAATATCATGACAAAGTTGGAAAACGAAAACAAAACTTTCAAATAGGGGATAAAGTATTATACTTTAATGCGGTGAAATACAAAACACATACAGGAAAACTAGAAGAAAAATGGAAGGGACCATATTATATACATGAAGTAATAATAAATGGATCGTACAAAATTAAAGAATTAAATGGAAGAATTTTAAGAAGACCAGTAAATGGAGAATTATTAAATGAATATTTTGATAGTGAAATATTTGAACCATATATAATAATATAATATGTTTGAGACCCGAATTCGATTCTTAATTTATGGGACATAAATTTTTCAAGAGGAGGATAAATGTAATAACCGAAAATATAATGAAATAAAATAAGGATAAATAATTAACCGAAGGATAAATAATTAGCCAATAAAATTATATTTATAGTTTAGTTTAGTGTAACGAGATAGTCATATGTAATAGATCTTCAAATTTTATTAGAAATATTAGAAATATTAGAAATATTTTTCTTAAATATGTATAAATACAAGTGGATTTCGATAAGAAATTCCACAGTTCAATTTTTGGAAAATAAAAATTTTAGTTTGTCCTTAATAATAATCTAACACATTCTTTTAGCCTTTTTCTTATGAGTAAAAAGTGCCACATTAATTATTTTTTTTTTTAATTAATGGTTTATTAATGTTTTGTAACTAATTTTTATTTTAAACCAAGCATAGATATTGTTCGAACTCAACACGTCGGTGGTAACATACGATATTTTATTTTATTTTAATATCCTATGGGCGGCGTGTCACAACTAGGGATCGGAAAAGATTCGATTAAAATCGAAACTATCGAAAATCGATAAGAATCGATTTTAAATCGAATTACGAATAAAAATCGAATCTACTTATTGTGGCGCAGTTTCGTTAATTTGACCGTAAATTATTATTTGTTCATAATAGTTAATTTTGGCCAAATTCATAATTCCGCCCGCGAATCACGTGACGGAACACAAACTTCCTAAAAAGGAAATTTTATCTCCCAATAAAATTCAAGTTGCTATCGCACAAGGTTGTACAAATTTCCAAAAAAGGAAATTTTTTCGTCGATCACTGTAATTTTTGTAATCACGTGATATGTGTTTAAACAAACCTATTATAAATAGTATAAAAAAAATCGGTATTTGCGAAACGATTAATCGCGATTAATCGATTTTAGAATCGATTCTAATAATGGGAATCGATTCCAATCCCTAGTCACAACGTCATTAATGGGAAATGATAAGCTTAAAGTATTACAATTCTTTGATCTAACAAAAATTCTTTTAAGACAACGTGCCTAGAGTTTCGATCCGTAGCGGTTTTATCCGGTTTTTATCCGGATACCGGCTCGGTTAATTTAGGCTGGGACCACCAAAATTAATAAAAATTTATGGAATAATATTATTTTAATTCTGGCCGAAATTATAGTCCACTCAAAGCCGAAATTTGTAACCTTTTTTAATCATAATCCCACGTTAAAATATTTGAGGTTTTATCCGGATCGAAACACTAAACGTGCCATTATGATACGAAATCTATGGAATAAATTTTATGAGCTTTATATAAAAATGAAAGACCAGACAACAAAAGCTGAAGATTTTCAAAATGATGCAAAAAATTGGCTTACTTTATTTTTAACGCCATCTGAAGGTATCCCAAATACTCAAGGATTCAAAAAGGTCTTTATAAACCTGATGATGTAACACCTTACATTCATGTGTTAGTCTATCATGTTTCTGAATTTATAGCAATTCATCAGAAATGGGGATTAAAGTCATTTTCGTGTAGTGCTGTTGAAAAGAAAAACCATGAGCAGGTTTCTTATTTTTTTCATAAAACAATGAAAGATGGAGGTAAAAAATCTAAGTCATCAGATATTATTGAAATCTTGGAACATGAAAATCAATCTCTTTTTTACAATCATCATGATGTTCCTTTAAAATATCAAAAACCTCATAAAATTCATATTAAAGCCAGAAATAATTATAATGAAAATACTTAATTTGATGTACTTTGATATTGTTTTTTTTTGTATTAATGTAGTGTAATTTTGGCTATTTTATTCAATTATAGCTTGACTATTGTAAAAATGAAAATAAACATGACCTGCTTGAGTAAAATTACCATTAAAATCAGTATTTTTTTGCTTTTTCCATTCTACTACTAATTGACCACGTATGCATTTTGGTTACGTAATTTTTTGATTGTTTCATGAGATAATGCAGCTGCAATAGGATTTTCTTCACCATTTTCAATATTGTTGTCACCATCACAAAGTACAACATATGTACATTGCCGTTGATCATAAAATTTAATTTCCCATCCTTGCATTTCCAGAATATTTGATAACACTTGGTTTGATGAACCTCCACGAAATATACACTTATAGATACCTTTTGTAGCTGAATAATAATGTATATGGTTTTTAAATACTGCATAAAACTGACTTTCAGTAGCGGAAATAGAAACTGTTTGTTTTCCTAATTGTCTATATCCTTTTGGTAACCTCTTGCGAATATAGTGAACTAATATAGCTTTAAATTGATGTATAGTGTTTTCGGGTAAAATATCAAGATCTGAATGTAAAGAATTGTATTTTGCAACAACATTTAAATGTCTTGTTAATCCCCCTTTTTTTAAACAGTTTTCCGCATATATTACATTCAAATCTTGAATCAGTAGTCATTGGAGTTATTGTTGAAGGTGCGGTAGAAACTGCAGTTTGACTCATATTACCTAAAGGGGTTTTGTTTTTTATCGCACCCGCGATATGTCGCAAGGGCATGCGCCTCCTAATTTTATTGGCGAAAAATTTTTTTGTGGCGCGTCAAATTTCAATTGTAACACGATCTTAAAAAATTTTTTTTTAAAAAATTCTTCGATCTGTTTTGGTTTCTTTGTCCCTACCTTTTAATAAAAACAAACCTTTACATTTCTTTTCTAATTACGTTTTCATTAAAAATATTGTTTATCATGTTTATATTCGATGGTTAGTTTCTTTTTCTTCTTTTTTGTCTTGTTTTGAAAACTACACTAAAGGTTTTTTTTTCTTTTTTCAGGTCTTTTGCGTTGTGGATTTTGACGTTAATATCATTTGAAAAGAGACTTTTCGTTCTTTAAAGACTCGGTAGGTGAAGTTTAATACACCGTGTTTAATAACCTTAAAAACACTATTAACGATTTTTTTTTTTACTTTAGATTCTTTCACTTTAGATTCTTTTCACAACGGAAGTTTAATGTCAATTTCGTTACTCTTCCTTCTTCTCATTTGGAAAAAATATTGGTAAGTGTCGGTTATATAGACTATGAACTAATTTAAACGGCCTCTTCAAAGTTTTTGTATATGTATTAACCTCTTG